CTCCTGCCACCTGGGCTGACTCCAAGCCTTCTGGCCACGCAGCCCGAGGAGCTTCATGGGAGAGAGGAGTACAGAACTACATCGGGATCACGATATTTCAGGAAGCTTCTATGTCATTCTCGTAGAAGAGGCACATATATGGGTGCGATATAGGAATTGGGATGCCACACGAGGAGAAGGAGATGGCGCTGCCGCCCTTGCAGCTCGGCTTCGGGGCTCTTGGCGGCTTCGTAGTGGAAGTCGTCTATTAGCTTCTGCTATCATGGGAGCTCCGATTCTGAGTGTTTCTGATCATTTTAGCTCGCGGTCGTCATCGTCATCATCATCTCTACTTCAATCATTTCTGGTGAGTGAGGTATTCATCCCTGCCGGCCCCCAGCTTGAACGTACCAAGCTGCTTGTCCACGGTGCCCATGGCACCTTGGTATTAAATCAGTTTGTATGCGAGTGCTTTTCATGTCCTACCAGGCCGCTGGCAGCTACCAAGTTTGCAATGTCAACAACAATGGAGATCTGGAGTTATGGGTGAGCTGCTTCAGTGACCCGACAAATGAACCTCATGCTTTCCATGGCGGAATGAATGCAAGCCTCACCAAGACCTGTGACAAATGCTTGTACAGAGCAGTTGCAAGTTCCCGACGTACAGTCTAGGCATGCGCTGGAGCCAAGTGGGCCGACCCCAGCAACTCCAGCCAAAAGCTGTATGCAAACCGGATGTTACTCGTAGCTTTCAGGAATGAACTCCGTAAGTTGCACATGGCGGCGGCGCCACACCCCACCGTGCCCCCAACCTGAGGGCTAAACCAATCTGAAGCCAACCCATATACTTGTCAAGAAGTTCATGTACGTCTTTGTATGGTGAGCGCTAAGGGACTGTCGGAACAGCAATGGCAATGCATACCTCTGGCAGATCCTAATAACAGTGCTGGCTTCGATGCCTCTTTGGAATTCAGAACCTTCTGAATGTTCCTAGCATTCGGCAAGTCGTATTGTGATGTTGGCTAGCGTCGAATATTGAAATTGCTTTGGTCCTACGATACGGGTGGGCCCTAAGCTGTTGACAATCCACTTGTACTGAGGTGCCCCCAAGCGCAGCTTGCTTGCAGAATGCTTGCATGGCCGTAGTTTGGTAGGGATCCTTCAGCAGTGGTTCCCAGAGCTTTGTAACACAGAGCTACACGCATCTGCCTCTAGTAGCGAGCCGTTGCGGACGTCCCAAAGGGTGAACAAAGACACGGATCATTTATCCGCGATCAGAACAAGACGGGACAGTAAGGATTGCAAGCACGCCTTGCGCGGCCATGTCGTGAGCAGATGCTTGCTTCTAATCAAAACCAGAACAAGTCCAGTTTCAAAACACCCTAGCGACAACACCCGTCCTGGCAACTTTGATGAGCCAACATTGTCCCAGCTCCTGTTTCTTTCTCTTTGGTCAGGTGGCTGCACCCTTGCCACCCGCAAGTCCGATGACGGTGCTGCTCCACAGCCATTTAGAGGAGCCATGGTCAGTATGAATGTATCTCTCAAACGCATGCGCAATTGTAACATAATGCGATGACATTCCAGAACCCCTCTCTCTCTTCTATGATTCATGAACTAGTGCTTAGACGCCATTGATCTCTATAGGGGTCATTGCGTGTGAATGTGAATGCGATCTGCAATGCTGGGCTGATGTAAGTAAGGGCTGCTCAAAATCCACCAATTTTTCGAAACGGTCGGGCGGCCGGCACGCAAGCCAGAGGTATCAAGCTTCAGCATCTGGTGAGGCTCTGTGTCCACCTTTCCTGCACATTCCTGGTATGGGGGGCTGGCCATGCAGCCCAACTGTCTTGGTGAATGCGCAGGAGAACCAGCCAGAGAAGGTGATGGTCACGATGGCCACTCAAACAGGCTGGCCCAGATGCAGATGCGCTGAAGAGCGGCGCTGAAACCCTGTCGTAGCAGACGGACACATCATCACAGTCAGATTGCCAACCCGAACAGTTGTAGCAAGATGGTGATACACGCCGATGGGAGCAAAGATGATGCAAGAACATGTTGCCACTTGGTCTTCTTCAGCTTTCAACGCCTCTGGCCTTCAGGTGATGATTTTGGCCTTGGAGACCTGTCGGATGCCTGCATCTCCCGTGAGAAGTTGTTGCAACTTTGCTTGGCATTTTAAACGCATCGGTACAGTACTATCTACTTAATCTTTGTGCCGTGGTGTCTGCAGAAATCGTTAATTGAGGCTTTTGTAAATTGCAAATCTCAGGTCTTGACGTTGACAGGCTCAGGGTTTAGGCCGTTCAGTGGTCCAGCTTTGCATCTAAGGGCTCCGTGATTGTTTTGGGACTCCCATCGTGGAGCTTTCCCATCTCAGCTTGCTAAAGACGTGGCTGCTGTATGATTAATTATCACTTGGTAATGTGGTTGTATTCGTCGTCGTCATAATAGCAGCAACAGGAGTAGTAGCAGTGGTGGTGGTAGCAATAGAAGTTTTTGTTGCTCTGGCATCTTTATGATATTTGACGATTTTGACGAGCCTTTCGTGCAAAGGTCTAACATATGAGGCACAGAGGTCTTATTGGAAGCCGCAGTATATGGGAGGTTGCTGAGGTTGACGGAGCAGAAGCAGGGAAGGGCCTGAGTTGTGCTGCGTGGTTTTCTCGGTGTGTTGTATCTCGTAATGCACGTCAGTCGTTTTCACTGTGAAGACAAGTTTGAGCAGATTTTACGTCCCACCTGCCAGCATGTAGCAGTAACCTGTTGGTGCAGGCATGGCACCACTGCGTCTCATTGACAATACTTAGGCAAGATTTCCTTGCGATTCATGGTAGAAGTCTGAGTCGTCTCTAAGGCAATACCGGCGAGCTTGGGAGACTCGCCGGATCCGAATGGCAGGCAGTGAGATGCCGTTCACGATGGCTGAGGAGGAATTGATCCGGCACCGATAGGATGATGTAGAATGACATATGCACCTGCTTGAGAGCTGCAGAAGATCTTGCAGCAAGCTTGTTGACAGACGCCTGCACGAGAGTGAGCTTGACGCCATCGTATGTTGTGGCCAGCATTACCACTACATGTCTATATTTCCATATCCATACACCTGTACATGTCTATATGCCCATATCCATACCTAATATCCCGCGGTGGTCAGGCAGATCCGACACGTAGGAGAGGCCAGCACTTGATTAGGATGCTGCCCGGTGCAGTTAGCTGCCGCTAGTCGTGTCCCATTTTTAGAAACACCAGCTCTGCACCGCGACGCAGCCAAATTCAATGCACTTAATTCACAGACGAATGTGGTCCACCGTGGTCAATGTTTTATCCAGATGGTCCTTGATTTGCAAGTTCTATCTGCATGCAGGAGTTGCACGGTAAGGCCACTCGTGCGAGATATCGCGTGGTTCTACACCATGTGATTGACAAATTGTTAAATGAACTATGCATCAGGCGCTCGGGAGTAGAGAGGGGGCACCTGATGCCTGAGCCCGAAGAAGGTACCAGTACATGGTGAGCCCAGGCCTGAACTCTGGAATTTTCAGAGAAGTAACTGCTGAATTTCTCCGTCGACTCGACAGCAACCAGAGGGCAGCTGCCTGTTAGTTAGGAACGAAAGCAAGTCAAGGCCAACAAGCACCTTTCTATCGGTGACACGTTCCTGAAGCCCCGAATAGATTGCTCACATTGGCACGAAGGTGCTTGCGTGTGTCTGAATTTGTTGAAACACATGTACCCATCCCGCTTGGTAAGGAATTTTCATCTCCACGTGGAACACCCTGGCAGGATGGGCATGTTGAACAGAACAGGGAGCATCTATTGCTGAGGAGGAGGGCAGCAGACCAGAGAGAACCGTCAGAGATCTGCAGGTTTTGCTTCATGAAGGCACACAGTGCACTTCCAGCATGTCAATGCGGCGGAAAGTGCTAGAGCGCTTGTTGCGCAGAGACTGGCATAAATCTAATGCAGTGGGGTCTTCATGGGGAGAAGTCAAACAGGGTAAGATGCGACCATCCAAGCCTTTCCTAAGATTTCAAGCAAGATGGCTTTGCATGGTAAGACCGCAAATGAATTCTTTCTGGTTGCATCGCAGCCCTCTCCGTTTGTGGTAGAACAACGGGTAATCCCGTTGCAGACAAATTAGTGCCATGAGGAGTGAGGCACAAGAGCGTTGCATGCGAAGGCAACAGCCAAGATAACGAAGACGGCCAGACACAGCTTGGCAAGTAGATGGTTGACAACAGGCTAACTAGTTGCACATGTGGATGACACCCCAGAACCATGTTCGATAATGCCCTTCTTTTTGTGGCTTCTCTTCATGGCCAATGCAAAATGCAAGACCGCGCGTAGGACAAAGGCATTGCAAGCTGTGCTGCGCAATCCGATTCTGTTGGTGCTTGACAACGATGAGCAAACTCCCCGTATAAATGATTCGATGCAACGGGTCCAATTCTTGTATGATGGCTGGCAGCTTCTGATCGAACAGCCTCTGTCTTGTTTTTGAAGCACTGTGCTGCCTCCCAGGTCCTGGCACTGATGGGACATTATGCTTTGGAAGAGCAGTTGCTGAAGCGAAAGCTGCTGGTGGTAGTTGCTGTACTGGATGTAGCAAGCCTGTTACAATGCCATTGTGTCATGTTTTGCCATGTTTTCCTCTGCTGACAGTAGTTTTGGCAAGAGTACGACATGACTGCGGCCGCTGGTTGACACTGGGAATGACGGTTGCTTAAATCAGCCCTTACTTCCCCCAGGCTTCAGGCGCGTGGTCCAGGCTACCTGTCCGCGATCCCCCCCACATCTTGTTCCCCCCCCCCTCCCCCGGAGCTCGAAAAGCCAGCGAAACGGAGATACTATTTGCGTAAGCGCGGTTCAATAGTGTAGTGCAGACATCAGGAGGCACGCGATGCCGGACTAGGTGTTCCAGAGCCCCTTTAAACGGCTTCTGAAAGTCCTCTAGCAGCTCTACACGAAGAACTTTCTGAGGTTTCTTGACCTGGCAGCTTGGACCCATGGTGTTGCAGGTTCCAGTCTCACCAGAGTTCCATGAGATGCTCGAGAAGACGGTGCAGGCTGCGTAGTTACATTCAACGAGACTCCGCGACGCAAGGGCTCGACTCGTCTAAGTCTAAGTAGTTTAGTTAGACAAGAATCTTTTAGGAAAAGTGCTCATGTCCACCCATTTCTGCGGGCTGCATCTTTCTGTTCCTGGACCCCGTGCCTGCATAGGATCTGAAAGCTTTCAAACACGCAGCTGGCCGATGCATCGAGGACCTCATGCCCGCAGTTGCAAGTGTCAACCGCCTTGACCACTGCAAATAGAACCTAACAACTGAGACTTGTAAACGTGAGGCTTAGCCCTCGTAATCCTTGATCCTGCTTATCAGTTCTCGTTTTGGTCCTCCTGCGCAGCCCCATACCTGCCCTATCAGGTTTAGATGCTCACGTTGTGTTCTTCCCTTGATCCTGAAGGCCAGTGTGAGCTTTGGCTTTTTCAGCAGCGGCCCTTGTCCGGAAGTGCCATCATGTTTCAGTGCGAGTTTGAAGCCAGGCGGGCGCAGATTTGTGAACAAACGGCGTCAAACTTGAACACTGTAAATTGCTGACCTTCACATTGTAGACCACAAGTGAATCAGTACATAATCGACCTTGCAAAGCATGGCAACACAGTCGCCCGCCTCGCCCTCCTCGCCTTCTCCACCGCCGCGCTGGCGCTCTGGGCCACCAGCACCAGGTGGACAAAGACCTTGGAAGAGTTTTGGGAGGCACTGCTATGAGAGGCTGGGCAGCCCACCGCAGATTCCGCCTCGGCCAGGCTTGCTGCCGTTGATGCAGGAGCCCCGCACTCTGGGTGGCCCGAGCCAGGGCAGCAGCCCAAGCAGCCCAAGCAGAAAAGAGCTTGATGCAGAGGAGTTGTCAAATGCGCGTCTTCGTTTAAAGCAGGAGATCCGCTCGGCACTGCGGCAGTGCTCCAGCATTCAAGTGCTCGATGCCACGATCGCCGCTGCTAAGGGCAAGTTAGGTCGATCTCCGCCGGAGGGCCAGCCGCTCCGCGATCTGCTTTCTGTACTTCATCAGAAGGCGAAGGCTCGGAGCGCCAAGAAGGTGGCCAAGCTCATATCGCAAACATTGCGACAAGAAGAAAGCCACCGACGCTTCTCCCTCGCGCGACACGGCTCAGACAAAAAGAGGGACCTCCGCGGCCCACGGAAGGCAATCTTTCGCCGAGGTGACGAGCTGGCATCCGTCCTGCAGTCCTTTGACCCCGAGAGTCCTGACCTAGAGAAGCTCATCCAGGCAGCATTCCGGCAGGTAGGCCGTGCAGGGCGGCTCAGCAAGAAGGACCTTCGGAAGGCCTTGCGCTTGTGCGGCTTCAAGGACATCAGAAACGATTGGCTAGAAGAGATCTATGAGGGATTGACAATGGTCTCCTTCATTGGTCCAGAGGACTTCGAGAAGCTGGTGCACGAGTACGACGAGCGCCAACGCGAAATGTATCTAGAAGCATTTAAGAAGTTTGACGTGGACTGCAGCGACCAGATCAGCACAGAGGAGCTTCTCCTAAAAAGGGTTCATCAATCTTAGCACCCCCCCAAAATATGCAGCGCCCTGAAAGGAGCTGCAAGAGGTTTTGCGGTCATTGGGCTTGGTGGTGCAGCCCAGCCTGATTGCGGAGATCATGCGCAAGGTTGATTATGATGATTCTGGTGAGCTGTCCTTTGACGAGTTTGAGCAGCTCATGAAGCTCTTGGCAGACTCGGACGGCTTCCCAGAGTCTGAGCAGGAGGAGTTGAAGAAGGCCTTCAAGCGTTTTGACAGCACCGGAGATGGCCTTCTGGATTCCTCGGAATTCCTGGGCACTCAGGGATGGCTTGGCTACCAGCTCAAGAAAGAGGACCTAGAGCAAATTTTCCAGGACGCTGACCTGGATGGCAGAGGTACACTGGATTATTCGGAGTTCGTTCAAGCAATGAAGGCCGTGCGTGAGGTTGAGATGAAAGAGGTCCAGCAGGTCTTCGAGGACCAAGACCAGGATCGGAACGGCCTGCTGTCTCCCACTGAGCTTGAGGCTGCATTGAAGGCCCTGAACTACGAGTGCGACTTGCAGGTAGTCTTGGAGGTGGCAGCACAAGTGCAAGAAGCCAGGGGGTCCCAGCGCCTGGAGCTAGTTTATGAGGATGCGCTGGATTTTCTGCAGAGGTACCGCAGCTGCGAGGGTCTGACGCAGAGCGAACTTCAGGACCTTCAGCTAGTTTTTCAGCGCTACGAAAGCGAGGGATGCGTGCGTAGCCGGGACCTTCAGAAGCTTCTCAGCTGGTTTGGCTACGATTTGCCCGCGGAGGATGTGGAGCGGTTCGCGCGCAGGACGCAGTGCACCGATGGACATCTGACATTCCAGGAGGTGAAAAAGCTTTTACGCATGGAACGCGAAGAGGCAATGGACCACTACCGTAAGGCTTACCAAAAGAACCACGGCACGCAGGAGATCAGCAGCCAACAGGCAGCATTGCTCTTTGCAGAGCTGAATCTGGAGTCTAGCCAGGGAAACAACTTTGAGCTAGGCTTAGCCTCCGCCTTCCGCAAGGGGGGTGGTGGCTTCTCGCCCGAGAGCTTCGTGAGGACCTGCCTGAAGCGGCGGAAAGCCAAGGCACAGGAGAACCGCGAGACTGCTGGCTTTGACAAGGACCTGTTTCATGCAAGCTCCAAGGGTTTTGTGAAGTCTTCCTGTGATCGGAAGCTAACAGAATATTGTGTTTGACCCTTCAGGAGGGCAAAGGGGTGACGTAAGTGTCCGCAGAAGCGTCCGCAGTGTGCGTAATTCTTGAATATTCTTGATTCCATGATTTTCCATGGCCCGGAGGAGCTGGGGCAACTGCGCGAGCTTTTTGCTTGGCGGAGCTCCCAGCGTCGCCGGGAGCCGCGGGACCCCCAAAATCCGTCACTCTCTGCAGACGAGGTGGCCCACTTGGCCCGAACTTTGTTCGTCTTTGGGGTGGCAGAGCCTCTCAAGGCTTCCTTGAGCGACCTTTTGCGGGACCTCGAGCGCAAGCCGCCTGCCACCATCACCTTCAAGGCCTTCCTGAGGCACATGCGCTTCTTCGTGGACCTCTACGTGAAGGATGCAGGCTTAAGGCATACATGTAATGGTCCGTTTGGGTCAAGGTCAGGGAGGGCTTCAGGAGTCGGCTATGGTGTGGTGTGCGTTGCAATAAATTGAAGTTTTTGGATCGACCTAAATCCTGTTACGAAGGATTACGCTTTGCGGGAGCAGTGGGCCATCCGAGACACAGGCTTCTCCCCCAAAGAGGTTGAAGACTTCCGGCGCCTCTTCGCGCCGGAGCAGGAGGGTCTGGTTCCCATTGGCCAGCTGATGACACTGTCGGAGCTGCGCCGTGCCCTGGCACCTTTGCAGATTGACAAGAGCCCTTCACTGGCATCAGCCCTGTCCTCTGTGAAGGGCGAGGCGCTTCAGCTGCTGAACGGGATCCCAAAGTCAAAAACAGATCCCGAGAAGAACATGGTCGTCAACTTCCCGCAGTTCGTGAGGATTGCCAAACAGCTGCTCGATGCAGCTGCAAAGGAGAGGGAAATGAAGGCCCTCACTCGAACCTTCAGCAAGTAGGGCAAAGACAAAGGCTGGCAGGAGCTCCTGCTTGAGCCTTGTTCCCCAAGACCTCCTTCCCATAGAATTTCTGTAGTTTTTAAATGTTTTTAGTCAGAAGCATCATAAGCAGTTAGCCCGAGCAATGATGCAGCGGGAAGGATTGTAGAAAAAAGAGGTTGGTCTGGCACCGCAGAAAGCTCTGCATGGAGAATCCATGATGGAGCTGAGGACGTTGGCTTAGAAGCGAAGTAGAGAGAGACTTCCTCCTGTATGACTTCACACAACTCAACCCGCCAACCGATAGTTGTACTCCATTCGTGGCTGAGCCAGCAATTTGGAGCGGCTGAGCGGCTGAGCCGCCCTAGCCTATCCCAGTCGACAAAATAAACGGGGATTGCCTGGCTGTACTCTTGCGCTTGACTGGGTTGTGGCCGAGATGTCTTCAGCATTAGTCGTGAGAAGTATTAGGTATGGCTGCAAGCACCACAGAGACTAGCTGGTTCTAGCTGCGCACCTCGTGCAGGAGTATTTCGTGACCATGAACGCAGAGGAGGCATATTTGGTGATGTGTGTTGAAACGTACTGAGGTCTAGGGTTAGAGCGCAAAGCGCGGCACTTGCAAGGTGGGACTGTAAGATAACCCCGCATCTCTTCGTTTAGAATTGGTGGGCCCCTTAAGTTTTGTCCCTTTCATAACAAGCCTTCACGGATAGCCGGAGGAAAATTACCGATAATGGCTTTTCTAGAGTAAACCCCTGTCAGAGGAAATGTACCGATAACAATGTTAAGGATACTAAGCTTGGGAAAGATTTTGTTTTACTGTCCCAGGTGGGAACTATCCTCAGCGAGCTATCCATGAGCCCATACCACCACGAATTCGTCAAGAAGGCGCAGCAAAAGCAAATTGTATATCCGCATGTTTACGGACAATCGGTGCATCACTGGTGTAGAGCCTGCTGCTCACTGTCGAAAATGGTTGGCTGTTTGCCTACACACTGGCTGCAGATGTTGCGAAGGTTAGCCAAGTTCAGAAAATGTCAGTAGTGTAGCACTCAGGAATTTCGGCAGGCAAGGGACAAAACCAATTTTGCTCTGGAGAATCGCTGCGCGATAGAGAAGAGACTCTGCAGGCGATCACAATGTCCTTCTCGCAGACGAGCGAAGCTGCAGGAAGAGAGGCGGGATAATTGTACATAATTATTTGTATGTATGTTTGAGGTGCACTTGCCTGCAAAGTCAATGGAAGTCTTGAGCTTCCGTCTTTTTCTTTGTGGTTGCTTGCCACCACATGCCACCACCCTCAGCCTTGCCGCATGAAATGAGACAAGGTGTGTACTAGGAATCTCTGATCAGAACTGGAGAGCAAGCTCAACATCACACGTCGGCTGGCTGCAGGCTGTCTTGCAGCTTCTATCCTGGCTTTGCACAAATGGCGTCCTCACAAAGGACCTCCAGTTTTGTTGATCGACGGCATATGCTGCGGAGTTGTGGAAGTGTGCCATGTAGCCAACATGGACCAACTACTTACGCAGCAGAAGTCATGGTAGACTCTTTCGAAAATCTCGTTGTCAGCCATGCTTTGTGTGAGTCTTACTCTTGCCATTGATTTGTTTGGACATGCTCAGCTGATCACAGGGCAGAATGGATGTTGAAACGCGGCTGCAGCCCGCCGACGTTGCATGCATTTGTTGCGGCCCTCATTCCACATCATTGGGACAAGTTTTTCCCAAGGCGGAAAGTCACTGTCGGTTAGTTCAATCTTCAACAAACTCATGAATGATTGGCGGAACAGCCAGGATGACATCCAGTGCGGATCCTAGATTTGAAATTGCTGCGGGCTGGGAATCAGGACAACATAGACAACCGCTTAGCTCTGTGAAATGTGTGCAGACTTGGCTAATCTCCAGTCCCAGATGCCCAATCCCAATGTCCTTCAGGTGGGGAACGACGCGATTGCTAAGTCTTCGCCTCGGGTCTCCTTGCAAGATCTTGCCATCGTCTGTTTCTCGAGAAGGAGACGCTCAAGTATGTTCAAGTGATATGAGCTTTCTAGAAAAGTTCCAGAAAGCGTGGAGCCCCACAAGATCCTACAAGTGCAGTGGTAGTTCAGTGTCACTCTGTGTTACTATGAGAACCGCAACAAAATCAACTCAGAGATCATCACTCATTGCGGCAGGCCAGGTGGATGACCTCAGCCTGGACTATCCCAGATGCATCGAGATGCTCACAGAAGTCATCATCCGGCAAGGGGCTTGGCAGGGCTGGGCAGGGCTTGGGAGTTGTAGGGGTAGCTTTTTCAGGCGTTTTCTCCTGAAAATCTTTGCGTACACTTGGCGCGGAGTCACTGCATTCCTTCCACTGGATACCGTTACTACACTAATGATGCTTATTGCACAGTTATTCACGCCACTACTATGCTATGCTGTCAATACTGTACCTTGCCATTTATCTCCTTCTGTACGTTTGTCACTCTGACTTCCAGTTCTAACTGCCACTGCTTCAACCTGCAGGCTCCTGGTGGATGAGCTGGTGAGCGTGCCCTTCTTGCGACGCTGTCGTCCTGGCCTCACAACTTGCATACTACTCAGGGTCAAGAGCTGCAGACGAGAAGGCACCTACCAGAGAGACCCCCCAAGAGGCTGTAGTCATCTTCACATACCTGCACAACATGTTGGAGTAACTTGGGGGAACTGCAGATGGACATTTTCCCGTGATGAGGACTCTTGCGCCTTGGAGACACAGCTGGACTGAAGGTCCTTGATGCGGCTTGGCTGACTCTGATTGGGGAAGTTGTTGCAACCGGGTCCAAAAGTTGGACTTTACTCCTCATGCTGTAAAGTACTGCAGACTGCTAATGGAGCCCAGCCTAGGCTGTCCAGCGCAAGACGCCCGAGTGCCCCCAGTAGCTACTCTGGCGGTTGTAGAAGCGAAGCAGGAAGGCATAGGACTTTTGAAGCTCTGCCGCAGGTACAGCAAGAAGCACTTGAGCACTGCAGCCTTCAAGTGCAGCCCTCAGCCCCTCCACCTGCTTTGCATTTGTTCAGAGGTTCAGGTGGCCAACGGACCATAGAGTATCTACGTTGTAGTTAGAAGGATGTTCACATCCCGCGCAGCATCGTAGACACACAAGCGGTGCATATGCCCCAGACGTCACAGGTGAAAGCTTGTGACTGAGGCGAGAGATCCAGACAATGATCTTGGAATATTTCAATTCTGGGGACACGGCCGAGGCCATCGAATGGGGAATCGTGTTCATTCAATCCCTCACAGTGAATCGCTGATTCATCGGAGTTTAACTTGGCATCCAGTTGGAGCTAATGAAGTCCGGTGTAAAATCACAGATGCATCCTGCCACTGCACAATCACGGACGGGTTCAGGCCAAAGCAGTCGCACAGAATGTAGCACAACTAAGCCCTTTCTTTCCTCGCACTTGGTTAGCCTTCATTGTTGCGTCGCCTGTGGTATTGCTGCATCGCATCTGCACGCAGTTCGGGCGTTGCATCAGAGAGATCACGCCTTTGGTCGCGAGCTCTGTGGCCACTGCTGGCAGTTCAGTGACTTCAGTGAGACTCAAAGGGCTCAAGCTGAAAGAGAGGCAAGCATGAAGGCTCTACATTTCCCCAGTCCTGTTGCATTTCTGTAGCTCTCTGAGTGAACAAATGAATTCATCAGAGCTTGAAAGTACTATTGCCTGCAAGAAGAGCGCCAGCACATAGTGTTAGCATGAGAATTATTTGTAGTAGAAGTAGAGGTAAGTCAACTCATCTGCAACTTATGACCTTTGATTCCGGGGTGTTCGCGCTAACGGAAGCCACTTTGCCTTCAAGTGTGCCGTCCAAGCCTGGCTGATAAAAGCTTCTGTACACACGTAGATATTGAATTCTACTTATCTGGATCTCGGTCCATTGGTAGAGCCTGTGTTTACTGCTACCGACACGACCCAAGCTTGCAAAGCCGTCTCAGCCTTGGTATCTGTGTCATCATTCTCTGAGGACTAGGCAAGACCAATGCCTGAGATTTGACTTGTTTCCCAACAAGGCACTCAGGATTGGTGTAACCCAAAGAGGCCAACCAAAACCGCTGGAACCCCCCTTCTGATGGCCCAGTCCCCGGCACAAAGCGCTGAGCTGGTGCGAAAGGCCTGCCCTCCATCTGACGAGCAGGTTGAACTAGAAAGATGTACCTGTACCCAACGCTGGGCTAAGCTGGTGGCTTAGACTTTCTACACGTTTATGATGAGGTGGGGATGGATTGCATGTCTGCAGCTTAGCTGGCAGGGTTGAATGAGCTTCCTTGCACGCCGGTTCCACCCGGTTGAAGCACTTTGTGAGTCTATAAAGTGTGCCCTTCAAAGGCCAACCCTACACCTCCCATGTCCACTGCCGCCGCCACAGATTATGGTCTTCGCGATGGAACGTTCTGGGAGCGAATGTGAGATGGCATTGACTCTGCTCATCTACATTAGCCGGAATGAGGAGGGGCGCCAGGGCTTCGGGTGATTTCGGGTGAGGGTAAGTCTGAATTTGGCATGACCAGAGCCTAAATCAGGAACCTGGCCCTGCGCCGTGAAGATAAGACAGGGATTGCTGTCCCTGGATGCCTGGTGCCAAGCAGTCTCTGGCAGGAGTTGAGCGCTAAGGACATCGAGAACGGATTCGCCCAAACCCTAGATTCCTGACTATCATCGCGTCATCTACATGGTCAGCATGTTTAGCTCCAGTCTGCCAATTCGGCTGCAGCTTTAGAGCTGTGCCTGAGGACGACATGTACAGGAACATGCCGGACATCTTGCTTGGCACTGAGTTGCAGAACTTTCTCTTAATCATCCGGTCTGCGAATCGAGCAATGAGGCTTGTCAAGGCCTGATGTCTTTTGCATCCTTCTGCAAAGGTCCTAGCATGTCTTTGCTCTCCACAGCCTGCACTACGATGCTTAGGCTCGATGTCCCCGACGCTGAAGAGATGGCACGGAGCTTTGTTGTGGAGGCCGGGGGTGTTCAGTTCAGGTCAGGACCCCTGGAGTGACGTTCAAATCACTGGGCCCAGCATATAGCGTAAGGCGGTACATGGGGCTCCGACACAGCTGCTGCTCGGAGGCAATGAAAAACAAGGTGTTGCGGGAAACGTGGCCTGACCCAGAAGAGCCCGACGAGTGAGCGTGGGTCAGCAAGGGAGTTAGCGAGAAACGCAGTGGCGCTGTTTAAGGTGAATGGTTTCTGCATGTTCCTGCTATCTCGAAGGGAGCCAATGGATTTTTCTCTGACACCAATGGTTTAGGAACCGTTGCCGAGTATCACCTCGGCTGATCCACATGCCATGAAGAGTCTGAAGACGATGCAGCTGTCGGGTCGCGCTTGGTGGCACCGTGTGAGGAGAGAACAGCTGGCAGAAGTGCAACTCTGCAGCTAGGATATTCCTGATTCTACAAGCATTTGTCTACGTCTCTCGCTGGTGCCACCACGGCACAGAAAGACAGATGTTCAGCCGCGTCAGGGCAGGGCTTGGGTTAAGGAGTCAGGTTAGGAGATGTTCTGTCTCTAACATGCGGCCATTGTGCATGAAGCAAAGGTGTTGCTGATTCTAGCTCCGAACCACCTTACAGCATCCCACATTCAGGAAGCTCAGGTGTTGATGCACAGTGCAAGCTCCCCAACCACATGTTACATACATGTTGTAATCGCAAGGCTCTGTTTCTGGCAATTCTGGTGCAACAGCGCAGTCAAACAACAAGACGGAGCGAAACGGACACAGACCCCCAGCTTAGTTGAAGCCGACGGCCCAAAAAAAACATTCAAGGATTTTCTGCACTCTGGGACACAAGCTCTGAGTCCTCCCTACATGCGTTGCAGAAAGCCCTTTGTTGAACGCTCTCTCTTGCAGGCAGCTTCCATGTCAGCCATTTGTCCATGGCCTCGCGGTTTTGTGTATTTGATGGCACGGCCAGGTGGTTTGTGCGAAATGAGAACAGATTTAGATTTGACTTGGGATGGTTTGTTGGAGGACGCAGGCACCTGCTTGGGAGCAACGACGCAAGTCACCACGCTGGCCTACAGGCTTGTATGTTTCCCTTCAGCATCTTCGACTGCGACCACAGTAAACGTAAGTTAGACATTGGAGATTATCTGCTTTCTCAATTTCAACCGCGAAGCCTTGTGACTTTATGTGAGAAGCGTGTTCATCCTGTGCGGCAGAGTCCGAGTGCACAGTGAGAAGGAGAGGCACCTTGTGGAAGATCAAGAAAATTCGGGATGCAAAGCCTGTACTGTATACATGTGGCTTCCGCGGCTTAAGGCTTTACTGATACTAGCCCCTGTGACACTGGTCACAGACAGTTGCTGGTGGTTCAATCACTCATGCTCGTGCGACAGGGTCAAAGTCCCATCTGGGTAGATTTCTAAGCCCTGAACCATCACCACCTTCTCAGCCGTGTGCTCGGCTAATTCGTGCACGCATGATACCAACCACGCAAGCTCGCCCTGCTTAACGTAATCCGCACTGTTGATTAGTAGGGGGGATCCCGCGCCTTGCCTAGAATAATGGCCGAACATCATTATTCTAGATAGCAAGAAAAGTAAATCATATTGCCTTCAAGTACAGTTAAGCAGAAGTAGTGATAGCTAGAGTCAGCAAGAGCGAGACTGTGAGTTAGAGGTCTATGAGGAAGAACCCGGTTTAGTTTGATTTCAATGTCTTGGTTTTGCATTAGATTTCAGTTGATGTTGAATGCTTCTAGCTTGGCCGTACAGTTTTTATTAGACTCTAGATTCTACGTCAAACTTGTGTGTTTGTGGGTTTTGAGCAGCTTTTTAGTTGGTTTTCAACCGGTTCTAAGTTGAATTCATAATGGCTTTTGTTAGACGTCAACTAGTTTTCTTGGTTTGGAAAATGTTTATTTAAAAGCATTCGATTTAAGTGGCTTTCCGGTTTTCCATTGATGTAAAGAAGGATTTGTTTTATGCAAGGTCTGTAAAGGGTAGCTCAGGCAATAACGTTTGAGCCTTTAATGCCTAATGAGTTTTCATGAGCAACCAGTTTCAGAATCAGCTCTCTTATTCTCATGTTAACTGCAGCCTGGTGATGGGGTCTTTGTAAAAAAGGTTGCGGAATTAGTGGCCCTGCAGAGAGATTTGCTCTTATTCTAGGAGGTTTGCCGTTAACGTAGACTCTCACGCAAGGTCCGTAGGGGGTAGCTCAAGAAGGAATGCTTGAGATTTTATTTCCGAATATAATCTAACGAGCAAAGCAGGGGTCGCGATCAGCTCTCCTATTCTCATTTCAAGAGCAGCCACCTTCCTTACTCAGGATCTGCGATTTGTAATTGTTTGCTTAAGCTTTTAGACTCTTAGGATTTCAAACTAAACCGTAAGCCTAGCAATGTTAGGTCCAGAACGACCTCTGCCTACAAAGTGCTCCTGGACGCAGAAGTTTTGGCCAACAGTCCCCTCTTCAACATCTATAGGGGGGTGTTATCAATCAAGACCATGGATTAGAGGAATGTCTGAACATGCATACGAGAGCAAGGTTGATGATGACATCTGAGTTATAGTAGAAGCTTACACTTTAAATCAAACTACATTCTGTCACCTTGCTGCAGCGGCTGACGCGTGGACGGCGTTCAAGCACCACCTTCCAGAGCCGCCGCACTTCATACCTCCAGCATCCTGGCTGCTCCTGCCGCAGTGCATCACAGACGCGCTCCTACCTCAATCGCGCGTGCGCGCATGGCCTGCTTCAGGGATGCGGCACATCACCATCTATGGCGGATGCAAGGAACCCCCGACCCTCGTTCCAAAGCACTTATCCTGACGTTGCAAACAGCTGGTGGTTCCTAGAAGCCTTGATGTGTGATTGTACAGATTCGTTGCTGGGGAGCTCAGCTCTCAGCCGTGTAGGGCGGGAAAGGTGTTTGTGGAGGGGAGGTGTTTCAGAAGTAGCTAGGGCAGCTAAGGCATCTGAGGTCACAAAACGCATCAAGTCGACCAGCACCTGTGTCTGCACAGCCGTACATAGCACACCTAGGAGTGTGTGGACACACCGCCATGAAGACTGTCCTGTAAACCCTTGCAATGTGAGGGTTTGCTGTGAGACATATCATTGGTTCACGTGCGAACGGGCATCACGCCTATGAACCCTTTGATAGCTCGATGTCCGATTGGGCATCAGAGAATCAAGTGAGCCCTTTGCATACTGTTTGTGGACCCAGAAACAGCCATCGTTAGACTGATAAAGGAGAGCTGCAAGGCTGCTTGTGGGCAGGGGATGGCACGGGGACTTGCCAGGTTTGGAGCTCTTTTTCTTTTGGTGTCTCGGCATCAGCAGCGGAGTACATTGTACATCAAACAGTTGAGATGCAGTAAGGTACAAGCAATTATGATGCTCGCCGTCTCTGTCGAGTTGATCTTGCTGGCCAATGGCTTTCCAGTGTTCAGAAAGGATGTGGTGTGTACAAGCAGCGCACTTCTCATGTCATTTGCTAAACCGGACCTCTCGGGTCGAAGAGAAACCCTGGGGGTGTAAGCATAGCTGGCCCTTTCCCGAGTACTGCGTAGGCTTGCCAGTGCGCACATCGTTATGCTGACTTGCCTGCATGGTTGCGTGCCTTTTTGAGCAAATGGCAGCTTAGAAGGTCTTGCATAGATTCTAGGGTGAGCAGTCCTCAACAGCGTGAGGGCCTCTTAGCTAGTTGATGAGCAAAAGTATCCTCAGGTTAGCCCGATACAACAGGGGAAGCAGGGACTCCTTGTAGTCAGCGTGGGCATTCAACATAGTATAGCTTGCTTATTCTTGATGAGGACAAGGCCCGCCACAGCTGATCCGGATGGTCTGAATCCGGCCTAAGCACTGTTGCTAAGAATATCGGACAAGGTTGCGAATGGCTGCGAATCCCCCCCAAGAGACAAAATGTAGCAATGGGGCCATGCGAAGACCCGAAATACAGCCACATCATACACGAATGATCATGAAATTCCCGGCTCTTTTGCGAAGACGGTCCATGAAGTCAGTGTTGACCTGAACTGTGAGTGTGCAGTAGGTTGTGGAGGGAGTCTCATGTGTCGACCGCCCATTTCGACTCAAACAGATAAGAGTGATTTAGGAGCAATGGCTCCCTCGGGAGGCTGTGGTCTTTCCAGCTCGTGGTTTCCAATTCGTGCGTAAAGTTTCGGGGTGCAGGTTTGTCTCTGGGACATGCTGCAAACAGGGAAGCCTAAGTACCTGATAGTATTGGAGGTTAGGCTAGAAGCATGCGATGGCCCCGGAACCCATGTGGAAGAGACATCTGAATCTGAACATTTGGCAAATTGCAGCAGAAACCTCAACAGCGATTTCAGAAGGATCGTGAAGGATTTGTTGCTGCACCGAAAGCAGACCAATCCAGGGTCGTCCAGGTCTCCTAGTCTCTTAGTGTGCTGCGCAGGCTACCCCGCCCGGTCCGAGCGCTACAGCGGTAGAGCGACCATCCCCCAGCGGAGGACGCGACTAGCCACGACCTGAGGGGACTGGGTACTGCCCCTGGCCATTGCTCTTCAGGGTGCTTTTTAATATCGAGGTGAAGCTTAAACAAATCTCTGGGGTTCAAACCGTGCATGTTGAGAGCAGCGGATGTACCAATTCTGGAGGACCATTCTGGCAGAATAAGGCCTTCCTAAAAGGTAGGTAGCCATCACGAATTCAGAAGGGCTGTGGAACATGCGGCTGAGGTGCTGATAGTTCGATGATAGTTCGATTCCGCTGTTGGAAAAGAGTACCTGTCAGCTTTCCATTTCTCATGGGAAGTTTAGTTCCTCGTAGCATCTGCGGTTGACTTTCCAAAATTTCCGGGTTGATGCCAAGCCTGGTTAGTTGATGTCATGTGATGCCACTGTCATTGGGTTCTTGCTTGCCTGGCAGGCTGACTAGCTTGCCACTGCACTGGACGTGGAGGGTTGAAGAGTGTCTCGGGTAGAAGGGTTCTGCCCTCACATTTAAACATTGCGAGGTTCACTTCCTTCTGCATGCTAGCGCTGCCAACGCAGATCATAAGAACCGAGGGAGACGCAGTGATCCCAGCATCTTTCCTGTTGCAGTTGAGGGTAGTTTTCTTTCGAAGCCAGGCTGAGCAGGAGAGCTTCTGTGGACTGGACGGAGGCAGGTGGACGGGCGCCGGTGCACTGCAGTC